GTTCAATACTTGCGTCCGAGTGTTTTAACGTTATAATATACTCATGTGAGGCGTGTGGGGGGTTGGGGTGGGGAGGGGGGTGACAACCATTATTGGCATGAGTATAGTTCACAGCGAAAGTGTGCTTTGTTACACTATACATGGTGGTAGAACGAACTGTATTTCTTTTCAAAGATGCCAAATTTAATACTCTAAGGATAATTACGATTAATCTAGGCAGAAAACAAACGACGGTGTCGGTGATCTAAATTAGAAATCCTCGCACAGGGCTGTTCTATTGATGTGTCTACCCCACTACGTTAAGACAAACGTTACCAGAACAAAACAAATGATAACAGTTTGATGGCGGTTTACATTTAGATTAAATATCTTCTCTAAATTATTTTAATTACATCTGTGATTAATGTAAACCATATGGGGCAATGTGAACATCGCATTTCTACTACCAACGTAAGTTTAGATCAGTACATCCAGATGAAGCTGAGTAGTCAAGCGACATTCCACGATTGCATTGTGGGAATGTAAACTTGGCGAACGTTACCGTGTCGCTGAAAACTTGTGAGTCGAATTGAGACATTTTAAACGTCTGAAAACATAAACGTACTGTTTCCACCAGTGATTTTAGCTGCGTGAAGCAACTGCAAACCAAGAAACGGGATGCAGCAGTTGTCCGGATTAACTCAGCATAACTTTATAGTTCAGTGATTTCAGAGTTTCGCGAGATCCGTCCCAACCTAACGGATGCATGCAATTTTGTTTTCACGGTTTCGGTACTCTACAATTTGAGATTTTCGAGGAATCGGGCCGACACCGTTTTTTCCAGGACAGAAAATATACGCAAACTGTTTGGGTTGGCGAAGATATTGTGTGAAGCGCCATGTTTGCCAAATTGCGTGTGGCTTTTCGACCTGAATTAAAGGTAAGTGTACTCTAAAAAAAATCACCTTGTTTCTTATATGAAACAAAACACAATTTCAGAGTTATAAACACCCATTTTTCTTTCAGTGAAAGTAGAAATCTCATTTAGTGTTGAAACGGGCTAGGGTTATTCCCCCAACCACACACCCACGCCCGCCCCTCCCTTAGATTATGCCATAATTAGTGGCAAATTAGATTGCTATGTCTACTGTCTAGTACCAATAATCACAGTGACATTAATTGCGTGGATAAATTATGTGACAGATACGCAAAACTCTGATAAGACATGTTATGACTCTATCTATATGGTCCGTGGTTTTTGTTTGTTTGTTTGTATGACAGGCCTTGAACGTGTGTAGCACAGTTACTTCATTATGCAACATCAAGTGGGCATGCAACATACAACAAAGCAAGCCTCACAAGGATTATGAGGCCGATTATGCCACTGTAACGTATGAATATTGTAAGAAATTAACTGAATACTTTGATAGCGCCTGTGGGGTTCGGCAAGGCTGTGTCCTAAATCCGGTATTATTTTCTTTATATATTAATGAGCTTGTATTGACCTTAGAAAATAAGTTTGATGATGGTATATTTATCTCCGAAGATATGTTGAATATTATTGCTCTGTTATTTACAGATGATTTGGTTTTGATAGCTGATACTGGTGTTAGATTATAGCGCCGCCAAGCGCACGTAAAATCTCCAAAATCATTATCACATCACATGGTTCAGTTTGCAGCCGCCAGATTGGCCGTTACTTTGATTTTGATTTGATACATCTGTCCAGAGTCTAGTAATTATCAAATTTATGGAGGAATCATGGAAGGGATTTTGGGTAGCACTGATGACGCTACCACCGCAGTTATTATTTGTTTTTGAAAAGTTCACATTAACTTCATAATCTGGGCCGTGGGGTAGCCTAGTGATTAAAGCCTTTGCTCATCAGGCTGAAGACCCGGGTTCGATTCCCCACATCGGTGCAGTGTGTGACGCCAATTTCTTGTGTCCCCAGCCGTGATATTGTTGGAATATTGCTAAAAGCGTCCCAAAGTCATACTCACTCACTCACAGTTATGTATTTCACAGTTTCACTTGTCAATGACAATGTTCAACGTGATGAAACTGAAATACATTTGGTGGTACTAAATGCATGCTCAATTTTACCCTTCTTACACATGGTCCTGTAAATATTCCAATCTAAACCATACAACCAGAGGTTGATATTATGCTCTACCTTCATTGCTGTGTTGATAAGATGACACATAGTCAAATACGTCAACGAAACTGACCAACCTATCCAATATTTAAACACCTTCGAGAAATGGATAAAGGCTAGTAGATTCATTTTACCCCAGGTGCAAGATTTTCTCCAACCGCACAGATTCATATTATATCGGTTCATGTTTTGCAGTTTACAAGCACTGATTCTTTGGATTCAACGTATATTTTACTGCCGTTCAATCACTCTCAATACAACCATGGGCCGGCGGGAATATACTTGTTTTTTTTTTAACTTTGGACTCACAGAAGATTCACAAGACTGGTAACTCAAGCTAATGTTAATCTTACAATGCAAACTGACACCCTGACCCAGCGTAATGTTTGTTTGTCGTCACCGTGCTCAAAAATATGTGTAAATAATATTATATTTTTTTGTATATTTGATATTTTACTTCACTTTATTGTGGCGGGGGAGGTTTGGATTGGTGGAGATGGAGTTTTTGTGTGTTTTATTTTGTTGTTGTTGTTTTGTTTTGTTTGGGGGGTGTTTGTTTGTTGTGTTTTTGTTTGTTGTTGTTTTTGTTTTTGTTGGGATTTTTCTTTGTATTTTTCGTTGTTTTTTGTTTTGTTTTTTTTGGGGGGGGGTTGTTGTTGTTTTGGGGGTGTCTGTCTTGTTTTCTAATTTGTTATGATGTTTTTGTTTTTTAAGTCTATATCAGTGCTTGCGTCCGTTACTTTCCTGGCCTGATGGACACTGCACGGTGAAATCAGGCGCCTAATTAGACGGGAAATATGGCGATTAATAAGTTAGCGAGTATTATAGGTATATATCGTCGCCGACGGACGATGGTGTACTCTGTCAATATGTGTCTGTAAATACGCAAATCATTACGTGATAGATATAGATGATGTTGTACAACAGCTGCAACAGCTGTCGAGATGTCTGGGGGAAGGGGAAAGGAGATAGTGTAGGGGTGATCGACCGAACGCAACACGTTAGAGCTGTTTCACTCGATTGTTGAAACTTGATCTAAACTCTATACTGAGCAAAACTGCGTCTATATGACGGTGGTCTCCTGTAAATGCTAAATCCTGGGCCAGGCAAACTAATGGTCGATAGTATAAGCAACGCCTCACGGGAAACTTGTTTGTTTAATGTCGCTCTCGGCAAAGTTACAGATATATGGCGATGGCCTGTAAGTAATCGAGTATAGACCAGATGAACCCGTGATCAACTGCATGGCCATCGATGTACGCAATTGGAAAACGATGAGTGAGTGAGTGAGTGAGTTTAGTTTTACGCCGCACTCAGCAACATTCCAGCTATATGGCGGCGGTCTGTAAATAATCGCGTCTGGACCAGATAATCCAGGGATCAACAGCATGAACATCAATCTACGCAATTGTGATACGATCAAATCAAATTCAATGTCAAATTAGACATTTATATAGCGCTACATATCCAGAGTCCTGCTCATATGCGCTTAGTCGAATGCTCGTTTGAAGAGGATGGTTTTGAGACAAGATCGGAAACTGTTGATATTCTCCGATTTTCTGACATTTTCAGGTAATCCATTCCAGAGTACAGCACCCGCTCTGCTAAATGATCTGTCCCCGTATGTTGTGGTTCGGACAGATGGAACTTCTAAGCTTTGCTGACTAGCTGATCTGAGTGACCTTCAAGGCTTGTGAAGGTTGACTAGTTCCTGGAGATAGAATGGAGCAAACCCATTAATGGACAAGAAGTTTGAATACAACTCTGTCTTTTACAGGGAGCCAGTGTAAGTACTTCAGGACTGGTGTTATGTGCACATACATATGATAAGATAAGATGTGTGTTCGTGTTATGAGCCTGGCATCTGTGTTTTGAACACGCTGTAACTTGTCCATGTACTTCTGCTGTATTCCATAGAGTAGACTGTTGCAGTAGGCTGACGTGATGCGCAAATGCATGGGTTAGGCATTTTACTGATGGTGTGTCCATGCACCTGCTAATCTGTCTGATGTTCCTTAGGTGATAATAAGCAGATTTGCAGAAGATGTTACCGACGTGATTTTCCATGCTTAATGTTGAGTCAAAGATGACACCTAGATTTCGAGCATGGCTTTCTGGTTGAACAAACGTGTCTCCAATTTGATCTCAGTGCTAACAGTGGGTTACATGTGTTAACTTAACCCAGTCAGCGAGCCTGACCACCAGATCCCGTTAGTCGCCTCTTACGACAAGCATGGGTTAGCCTACTGAAGATCAGTATTGTAACCCGGACCTTCACGGGTTGGAATACGATGACGCATTTGTCGATTGTTGTTATAATGTAAGGACACTTACTGATTCTCACTGGACACTGGACACGCATTTGGTAAAAAAATTCATCAAAAATGAAATCAATTACGCTTTTTGAAACAATATCCCGACGGGGAACACCGGAAATGGGCTTAACACACTGTCTCCATGTGGGGAATGGAACCTGTCACTGTGTCATCGAGGTGACGAGCGAACGCTTTAACCAATTAAGAGGCTATCCCACGAGCAGGAAGAATTGACCCGTAACAATCACGCACCACAATGTCAAGGCTAGAACTGACACACGTCTTTCGCGTACTGAGGTCGAATACTTGAATAATTACACAACACGTACATAAAATCTAGGTTTCGCCTATTTGAAGCCCTCATAAAATATCTCTGCACAACCCCAGAACGAGAACAGCTCACGACACATTCCTTCATAAATATTCCTTCGTTCGGATGACACCAGCCAATCAATCACAACTAAAAGCTATGCTTTGATAAACAGATCAATGCCGTGTGTTATCTTACCCCGCTCGCAATATGAGATTTATCTGTACACCTGTCTTACAACGAGGTCGATTTGCCGGAACGCGAGTCACGTGACCCAAACAAAACTGACACGCGGGTCGGTTTGTAGTGAGAGTGTTTCATGGCAGCTAGATCGCGAGTGTTGTGGTTGGGGAAATACCACAGAAATACCGACGGACATGTAAGGAATTTCTCCTGAACACAGGATTTGACTCCTTTCGAATCTAGGTGAGTGGTTTGAATTGCTTTCACATTCGCAAACGTTTCAATGAGGGTACATTCTAGCAGTTCTCGTGCTGTTGTCATGTTGGGTTAGCTTAGCCTGACAACAGTGAACTGTTAGCGTTCAACTGGAACAAGTCAGTTTCGCAATATCGGGTTTTCTTTGCGGCATTTTGCGGCATTGATTTTTATTTAAGGGGAAAGTTATCGTGTTAGGAGACTAATAGTCAGCGAAGATTATGTTTTTGGTTGGCGACAGTGTTGGTTTACTGGAGGCTTATCAACCTCACGATCAGACCTATTGAGATTAACAGCTGATTATCAGCTGACGAAAATATCTACCTGTCATTTTTTATTCCAGCCCCGTCCCAGGCCCCCACCACCAAACAATTCTTAGCAACCATTCAAACGCACTTATATATTCATATTTGTAACAAATGATAAGGTATACTACTTTTCTCCATATATTGATAAAGTGCCGTTTCTAGAAAATGATCAGGTAATTGGTTTGGGGTCAAACCAAATTATTTGTTTTGTGTGCTAAAACAGAGACAGCAAAATTGATTTATAGAAACCTTTTTTCATTTACGCTCTTTTGATAAAGAAATATTCCATAAAATGCATTAATTTTGTACATGACGTGTGTGTGTGGGGGGGGGAGGGGGGGTCACTTACTTCGTCCCTTATTTTATATATATAATTATGGGGGTCAGTCACTTTGTACATGCTTCTCCATAACAATCATAACGCCCACCCCACCCAGTCATTTATTATGAACGGTCCTAGTTGCCTTTGGTGTTTTTTTCATATTCTGAAAGGTTAGACTACATTGTCCTGTTTAACAATTTTAAGTTTTTAAGTTCAAAGTTAATGATCAACACCCTCCCTCTGACTGTTAGTTGTTTCATTGTGTGACTGAATGAATATTGTTATGTGCCACAATCTGCAGTATTCCAGCTATACAATATATGTCTCATGTATCATTCACAGATTGCAAACTTGCATGTTTACCTGAAATAATTCTTGGTTTAATAGATAAAACAGCAAATCTGCAAGTGAACCTAACTAACACTGTCAAGATATCAACACACTCAAATGTTGTATTCTATGGTAATATTTTACCAAAAAGTCTGTAAATCAAGACATCCTGTCTGTTTTGCTTACCATGCATTTAGGTTGCCAAGCAACCAAATTCTTTGATGGCTATTTTCCCAAATTCTGAATCTAAAGAACCCATGACTTCAAATGCCCACAATGACTGCAGCCATTTCATACAACCCCCATCAGTCCCTATTTTTATCCATTGGGATTTTGCTCTTCAAAGTGGGCATATTCCCCATGTAAATAACATGCTTTGATGTTTTCGGTACTGATAGCGCCACTTGATTAATATGAGTGAAACTTAAAGTGGAAGCCTGACTTTGAGTTTTTTTCACTTTGGAATCTTGGAAAGTGGTGCCTGTTTAAACTGCCTCTTGGGAAATTGTGACTGTAAGCTTCTTTGGTCGCCACTGAAAATAACATTCGGATCCATGGGGCCCTTGTAGAATTTAAAACATTTCAGGTTTCTTTGAGGAAATAATGTTCGGACAAAACTGCATGAAAATGTCTTCCATGTTATATCTTTGAGAAACCGATTGCAAGAAGAGGTAACCCAATGGTAGTATTACTCAAGTGAATGAGAAATCTTGTTAATTTGGGGTACAGCGACTAGAAACAGTGTGAGGATCGACATGTGTAGACAGTTGGTCAGTTATTCTTTCATCTTAATCATTTTCAACCCTTGGGATTTCAAGTAATTTTCTAATGGTTACCATAGTTACAACCACAGACCATGTAAGGTCATTTTGGTCACCTAATTTATAAGTCATAAAAATACATATAAGAAAAAAATCCATGACACAAGTTGTTGATCATTTTTAATCACTCAAAATTGGCCACAACTGAAGATATCACTGGGTGAGATCAGGCAGTCTCACAAAGATATCACACCAATGCTTTGCAATGTCATTGGTAGCCATGACATCACAATCAAATGACATCACTCCTCTGTCTACAGCTGAAGCTTGTTAGGAGTAGCATCATTTCACTGAAGACACTGCTTAAAGTTGGCTTGTTGTTTAAGAAATACAGTTCGCTCTACCACCATGTATAGTGTAATAAAACACACTTTCGCCCTGAACTATAATAACATTAAAGCCCTCGGACAGAAAACAAACGACGGTGTCGGTGACCTAAATTAAGAATCCTCGCACAGGGCTAACTGGCACGCTGTTCTATTGATGTGTCTGCCCCCCTACGTTAAGACGAACGTTACCAGAAAAAAACAAATGATAACAGTTTGATGACGGTTTACATTCGGATTAAATATCTTCTCTGAATTATATTTTTTTGTCATTAACGTAAACCATATGGGGCAATATGAACGTCGCATTTCTACTACCAATGTAAGTTTAGATAAGTACATCCAGATGAAGCTGAGTAGTCAAGCGAAATTCCACGATTGCATTGTGGGAATGTAAACATTGCGAACGTTACCGTGTCGCTGAAAACTTGTGAGTCGAATTGAGACATTTTAACCGTCGGAAAACATAAACGTACTGTTTCCACCAGTGATGTTAGCTGCGTGAAGCAACTGCAAACCAAAAAAACAGGCTGCAACGGAGTAGTTTACTGTAGGAGGCTGTACAAGGCGATGACAACTGACATGCATCGTGACGTCGCTTACATTGTGACGTAATGCAAAATTGTTCGATTACGAGTGGGCACACTAGAATGGCGCAGTGACAGAATAACATCATTCAATTGTTACGTCATCCAAAAACTATATCTTTATTGTCTAAAAATGTATTTTTTTTCGATTGTTCTAACCGCTAGGCATCTTAGAATTAATGCCACACTCCAGTGATCAACAGCACAAGCAGCATTAAACTACAAACAACCAAGCAGTATTTCTTCCTTTTGATAATGAAGTATGAACCTAGCTTGGTGAGTGTCAGCTGTATTGAATGGGTGCAGACAAAAATATACTGACATCCTGAAAGCAATATTTGTTAGGGGTGGCTATTGAGGGGGAAACAACTATTGCAATAGGGTTTTTTTTTCCTCCTTGAATTGTCTCATTTGAAGTCATTTCCCAAATGAATGTAGTTTATGTGAAATAAAAACAAGCTGAAGTAGGTTCAGTCTATTTTAATACCTGACAAGGAACTTGAAACCCAGATCAAGAACAGTTGAAACATAAACTCAATGAAGCTGCAAGTCTGTACCCAAACATCCTGTATTTTGTGCTGTGCATTTATCAACGGAAGTCAATTACTAAACTGTCAATAGTCACACATACCATCGATGCATTGATAGTTTTTCGTTTCTACCATCGATTATTGCTATCGGAGACTCACCAATTGCAATCCATTGATAGTTTGATGCATCGTTTCAGCCCTAATATTCATTGTAATAAATTCTTGACAAGAAGTTGAGTTCCTGTATTTTCAGTAATTATTAAATCTTACAGCACACAGCTCCATATCATCACTTTTAATGACCTCCATGTTTACTGTATACATATAAAACACTTTCAACAACTGCATTCCTAGCTTCTTCTTATTTGATATGTAATATCTCAAAACCTTTGAACGTAATGGTTCACTGAAGATACACTTAAAGGATATCCAGGGGCACAGATAAAGGCCGTATCGGCGTATGTACGGATAAAAAATATGCACGATACGGTAGGAAATAATTTAGAAAACATAGCACATACGCACCACTTCATTGCTGCACTGTTTTAGAATCATTTACAGACGTATTTATCTGAAAAAGTATTGTTTTATTGTTTATTGACCTGTTTACACAAGAGTAGCAATGTTGTGGTGCATATATGAAACGAAACACAAGATTATCTATTCTCGCAAAATCCATTCAGTACTCTAAATGTACTCTTAAGTTTTTCCAGTACTCCTATATTATAAAAATAAGGAGTACGTACTCCACATGTTGAAAACTTATCTGGAGCTTGATATCTCCTACTAGCGTTACCGAAATACATTTAAAGGTCTTGTTTTGCCATGCTTTGATGCTCACATTTGACCCAATCAATACAGAGACTATCCTCTAACACAAGTGATGTAAGATGATGTCTGCCTAGAGGCCGTTAGTTAAATATAGATTCCAAGAATTCCTTAACTGAATCGAATATAAGAGCGGAGACCAGAGGAGTCTGATGCGTCAGGCCTTGTATTCTATTATTGTATTTCTTGTATCCTGTTTGCATACAGTTTTGCTATATCTTTTAATGGTTATGAATATAGAGGATGAAGGATTTCGCATCCTGAAAACCCTTAGTTTAGGAATATAGGATTATTTTGTGCCAGTTTCTAACCCTTACAAGGCAGAATTGTTAACGATTATTCATGTAAAAATCAATTGTATGTTATGTAAACTAACGTAAAGTTTAAATTTTTGCACACAATATACAAAGTTGATGGTGTCCTCCCATTACGCAGACAGCCAGTTCACAGACACCTTAAAACAACATTTACGGTTCAGTGAACAGATTATGTACTACCTGTTACCTACACATTATAATGGAATAGTCCAAATAAAAACACAGGAACAAACTGAAGCTATATTATTTATTTTGAAAGATGGACGAAAAGACAGTAGTTTGAATTTTTATTTCTGCAATATACGAACAGTTTATTTTCATAAACATTTCGGTTTAACCTTCTAGTCTAACAGGAGTTGGCATCATCAAAGACTCAAAGACATGAACTGTTACAGTCTTTAGAATGTTTTCAAATATGTACATATCTATATCTCTCCAACAAAACGTTTTCTGAGTTAACTTCTGTTGTACATATGCTATTATTGGGAGGGGGCTTTTCTATCAATAATCACAATCAAACCTCTCAGTGACAAACCTGTTTTTATATTCAATAGTAACTGACAGTGAAAACAATTTTGAGAAGAGAAATCATTTATTATTTAAACACAACAAAGTTATA